ATTGTGGCCCAAAATTTGGAATGAACCAATTTTGCCCCTTTTAAGTTTTAATCCTCGTTTCATATTTTAAGTGGGTTTTGGGCAGGTTATTTTTGGATTTTAGGATGAAATTAGGGCTCAATTAATTTTTGGTAGATTTAATACCTTGTTTGGTTTGGTAAAATAAATCAAGGTTTGGGTTAATATTGTTTTGTTTGGCTATTGGTAAATGGCTTTTAGTTTATTTTTCTGGGTTTTGGCATCGGCTTGGGGTTTAAAGTCCATGCATTTGATTGGGCTGATTTGGTAAAAAATGACAGGGTAGCCCGTTTGGCCGTCTCTTTTCCTTAGGGCTTTTCGTTGGGTCAAGATGGCTTTTGGCCCAAGGAAAATAATAGAGTGGCCCGTTGGCCTTTTTTTCCAAAATTTTAAAATTCGGACCGTTAATTGAATTGGTGAGGTGTTCGGGTTAAGGTTCAATCGGTCTGACCGGTTCAACCCTGGTTCAATGAATTTTTTAAAAATTAATTTATATAAATATATATGCACAAAACAAGACATGTATTGGACTAATTTAAGACTTTATACGATGAAAAATTTAATAATTCAAAGAAGTTGGTTTTTCACAAATAAATTATTTAAATTATAAGTTGAAACAAATAAATTTCATTTAAATCTTAATTGGATTAATCAAAAAAATAATGTTAAACCCAACTCAAAAATACCACAATATTTTGAAATTATACAAAATTCACGTCTATGAGAATTAGACATTGTGAGTTTAAATTTTAAATCAAGTTTATGATATTTAGATATTGCAACTTAAAAAAAAAAGAAGTTTTGAGTTTGGAGGAAGTCAAAAAAATAGAAAATAAAAATACAAACTTGATAAAGAGGCAAAAAAGGAGAAGAAAGTGAGTGAATATGGCATTTAATAATTAGTTTTTAGAGTTAAGGAAAACATATATATATATATATATATATTTTTTTTTCAATTTAATAGACAAAAACAAAAAACTGTCGGTTCAACGGTTCAATCCAGTTCGTACGGCTCGAATGGTTCAATTCGATTTTTAAGTATAGTCAACCCAAAGCATGAATCGGACCGGAGCCAAGGCTGGTTCGCGGTCCGACCGATTCGGTCCGATTTTTAAAGCACTGCTTTTTCCTTAAGATCTCTCATAGGAAAATTGCATTTCAATCCTTGGACTTTCGATTATTTTTACTGTAACCCTAAAAATTTTGGTTTTCTTTCAATTAGGCTCCTAATTTAACTGTATTTTGGTCCCTGAACTTTATTTTTATTTAATTTTGACCCTTAATTTTTATAATAATTATAATGAAACCCCAAAAACTCTCAATTTTTATAATTAGGTCCCTAATGTTTTGATTTCTTAAATATAAGTTGTTTATCTTCTTTAACTGTTAATTATACTTCATTTAAATGCTTTAATTGATAAATTTCATGATTATTTTCACTTCTTTATAATATATATTTGTTAATTAAATTGGTGTCTTGACCATTTTGTTGATTTTTGGAGTATAAATAGGATAAATCCAACCTTATTTAACCACTACTTCAAGGGAGGTATCTTCTTTTATTGTTTTAAATCCTCTTATGTGCTTCTATATGCTTTTTATCTATAATTGCATGTTTGAGTGCTTTTATTTACTCATTTTTTATTCATTTATTATATTTAATTTTTTATGATTATTTGGGAGACATTTAAATGTCAAATTATAATAGAAAGATGCTCAAGACATGTATTTAGCTATGCTGTATGATAGATAGGTTTTAATTTTGCCAAAAATGTAATTAGTTAGATAAATGTAATAGTTATGTTATTATTTTTTAAAATTCCCCTCTTAAATTATAGTTAGGGTCCCAAATGTAATAGTTAGGTATTATTTGCTTATGTACTTGCATGCTTGTGTGCTTATGTGTTTATTCGCTTTTTTTTTTAGGGTTTTTGCATCTAGATTGATAGGCTGCGATTTATCGTTTATTTTATAATTAATTTCCCTTATTACCTGACCCAATGTGGATTAATTGTCAGATTCTACTCACTTTTGAAAATTTACACTTATTACAGGGAGTAGAATAAAAATACCATAACAAGTGCTAATTTGGCAGTCATCAGGAAAGAGTTCAAGTAACAGGCATTCAGGGATATTTTTGGAATATCAAGACACGACCCTTCTTGGTAATTTGGCCGAAGACAGCATTAAAAAGAAAAGGCTGGAGTCTTCTTCTTCTGGGTAGCGGACGCCGCACAGGAGCAGTAGACATTAGATAGAAATTAGAAATAGCAAACAACGGGGACTACTTGGTGGCTTAGCTTTTTGACTTTTCTCTTTGGCTTTTGGGTAGCTTTACTTCTCGTATGTCAAAGGCAATAGGAAGACAAAAATCATTCCTTGTAGCTTTTCTTTTTGACTTTTGCTTTTCGTCCTTTGTGATTCTCTTGCCTCGTACGTCTGGGACAATTAGAAACAATTGAATCAATCGCTATGGCTTGCCTTTCCTTTGTAATTCGAGCAAATTGAATTCTTCCGATCAATGACAAAGGCTGCAATTGTTCCTTCCGCTTTGTATGGGTGTTCCTCATTAGGGATGAACTAAATCCCTTTTTCTAATCAAGAAACAACGGAGGTCCTGTTTCGTCTAAAAATTGTGAGATCGATTTAATTTTATCTTTTCTTTTTATTTATTGGTATTTGTGTATTCTCTGATTACAGTGCTTATGGTTGTTCAATTAATTGATTGTCTTAGATCCAGATAATTAGTTAATTTGGTAATCTATTGTTAATTGGGGCGTTAAATCCGTAATTGTTTAATTGCTCTGAACTGGTGACAACTGGCATGATTGGATTTTTATCGGGGGAATACGCGGGCTAATCTATAACAACCCTGGTAGTGCGTTATTTGGTTAGAATAGAACTCCTCTAATACGTAAGGCAATTGAAAAATTAAATCTTACGGGTGTACCTAAGATTATTTCTCAATTAGAGTAGTGATTAACGAGCGTATCTTAATCATCGACACAGTAAGGAGGGGTTGACTGTCATTGCTTGTTTGGCAGTTATAACCTATTTATTAGTAAATAATTGGAATTGCCTTTGCATCGATGATCAATTAGGTGAACCATTGCTGAAGTTATTTCTTTGCTAGACCTTTTAATTATTATTACTCTGATTTTAGTGAATTGTCATTAAATTTTTAGTTGGCTATTTTATTTTTAGTTGAACTACTTTAATTGTCATCATTTATACAAAAGCATCCCCCATGTTACTTTGGATTTCAAAAGAGTCACATATCCCCAGTCTCTGAGGATACGACCTTACTTACCATGTTTACAAATTAATAATTATTTGTGAAAAAATCATCCCATTCGGGTACATCGGATTAAGCAAATTTTTCGGGAACAGGGTGAATCAAGTAACCCATTGCACACCTAAAGTTGATGATGATATAATTGTGCATTTTATTCGCTGTATTTGGTTTTAATTTTAGTCACTTATTGTGCAAGACACTGGATTTCTGCCCATATTTAGTATTTGTGTTATTTGCAAGAGAGTGGTGTTGAAAGTGACAAAAGGGGGGCAAATTCCAGAAGACTAGGCATTCTTTGGTGTGCCCACATCAAATAACGCAGAGTTGCGTGAAAAAGACGGACCACGGGCCCTATCCCTGGAGCTACTTCTTTTCTTTTGGAGATACATTCTAAACCTATGTGGGATTAGGAAACCTTTGCAGAGAAGACTTTTGGCAACAATTCAATGAGTGAAATAAGGAAGCAATCCTTTTGAGAAACAAATTCTAATTCAAAAAGCAAGGGGGCGGCAGCGAGGACTTTAAAAATAAGACAGCAACAAACTAGGAAGGCATCTCTGGAATCTTGTTGACTTTTCTCTTAGTTTTTTTTTCTCCCTAACGAAAGGGAGTAGACGAGTAGCCGCAGTTTGTACTTCTTGAACAACGAAATTATGTTGAAGTTTTTATCGCATGACCATCATGCGGCAAGGCTAAACCTGTTTATATAGTTGAGGAGTAATCAAGGCCTAGAGCACGAATAATTGTGAGATTGTTTTGTTTATTCTAAATTCTGCATTTGTGAGTATTTAATTATTCTTTGTTTGAACAGCCTATTATTGTTTGGATTTATTGGATCAATATGACCAGTTGTTCAATTGTCTAAATAATATATTACCAATTAGGACAGGGGTACGTATCACTTGAATGTCTTAAATTAGTGGCAAACGGTATCAATTTCATTGCCTCGCAAGCAGTCTAATTTGGGTCGTAGGAATAATGAATCTAGTTTAAATGAACCCGCATGTGTGTTTGTTTACTAGAATTGGGTCTCTCTAATTCCTAAAGCTGTGATTAGATTAAATCTTTCGAGCGTCTCTAGGGTTATCTAATTTACAAGGGGGTAGTTTAATAGCGTCTCTGGACTACCGTAAAATTAAGGAGAGATTGGGAGTTTAGCCGTTGCTAAATTGGTAGAACCAATTTATTTGCGAACGTGTAAATTAATTCAGGTATCTATAATTAATTGCGTAAACCAGTGCCAAAATTATCTTCTTGACTAGATTGTGTCAATTAATTGTTTATTTTATTCTTGAGTTATTGCATTTATTGCGATTGTTTATTTAGTAATCTTACGCCTTTAATTTGTTTCATTTATCTCTCTCTTCCAAAAATCCCTTAATTACCTGTGTGTGATAAATCTACCGGTTCCCTGAGGAGACGACTTTACTCACCACGATACTCATTCAGTTTTGGTAGTAGGTCTTATATAAATTTTATTTTTGGTAGTTCGACAGCCACCAAAAGTCCCTTCCCCAGTACTTGAAATCGGGTTTTGGTTATTTTAATTGACAATTAGGTTTATTTTTATTATTGCACAGACATCGACAACCTGTCAATTTTTGGCACTGCTGCCGGGGACTGGCGTCAGTTATTTGTTTCTTTTTAAGTTCATTTTTATCCTAATTTCCTGGTACTTTTCGAGTGTATGTCTCATTCTTCTCGTACATGTGAATTAATTTTCGACCCTGAAGTAGAGAAGACTGTGCGTAGAACAAAGAAAGAGACCAGACAACTCAGAGAAAAGCACTCTAGTGCTGCGTCTCAGAGACCTGAGCCAGAAGTTGAACCAACAGATTCACTTAGTGATATTTCGAGTGACTCAGATTGAGAAAAAGTCACTATAGCTAATGCACAAACACTAAGGGAGTTGGCTGCTCCTGATTTAAATCAACAGCCTTTATGCATTACTTTCTCAAATTTAAATGATAACACTCCATTTGAGTTAAAATTTGGGCTAATTCATCTCTTACCATTTTTTCATGGTTTACCAGGTGAGGAGCCGTATAAGCATTTGCAAGAGTTTGATGTTGTTTGCAACAGCATGAAACTTCGAAAATTACAGAAGAACAGATAAAAATGAAGGCATTCCTCTTCTCCTTGAAGGACTTTGCAAAAGACTGGCTGTACTACCTACCACCAGGTAGCATCGCCGCGTGGGACCAGCTGAAGAAAAAGTTCTTAGACGAATATTTTCGTGCGTCTCGAGCGGCAAATCTAAGGAAGGAGATATGCGGTATCAAATAGCATCCAGTGGAGTCGCTCTATGATTACTGGGAGCGATTCAAGAAGTTGTGCATCAAGTGCCCTCAACACCAAATAAGTGAACAACTGCTTATCCACTATTTTTACGAGGGGTTACTTTTCAGAGACAGGAGTATAATTGATGCTGCAAGTGGAGAGGTATTAGTGAACAAGACTCCTCGAGAAGTATGGGAACTAATTGAAGGAATGGTTGAGAATTCGCAGCAGTTTGGTACGAGGGAAGATGTCTTGACACACAAGATGAATGAGGTAGAGACATTTTTTATCCAACAGCAATTGACGAAGCTAACATCTTTTGTTAGGCAATTGGTTGTAAGAACTGCATCACAAGCCAAAGTGTGTGAAATTTGCACTGCAATGGGTCATTCTACAGAGATGTGCCCAATGATTCAAGAAGAAAGTATGGAGCAAGTGAACATGGCTGGTCATGTGCCCGCGCCAAGAAAGCCCTATGACCCGTACTCAAATACGTATAATTTGGGTTGGAGAGATCACCCTAACTTCAGTTATGGAGGAAATAAGCAGCCTAATTTTGCACCAAATAGACATCAAGGGCATCAACAGCAGTATTAGCCTCGACCGCCACACCCCTTTCAAACTCAAATCCGTCCATGGAAGAGTTGATGAAGTAATTAATTGCTAATCAACCAAAGATGAATTCTGATCTACAAAGTATGAGAAATCAATTGGGACAGATGCAAGCAATGTAGAGTTAGATGAGTCAGATGGCGATAGTAATTAACCGCCTAGAATCCCAAGTCCAAGGTAAATTGCCGTCTCAACCTGAATTGAATCCGAAGAACATAAGTGCGATGACTGTAGAGCGAGAAGGAAATTCAGGAGCCTGAACTTATGATTCCAAAGGACAAGAATGAGGAAAAAATCGAGAATGAGCTTGAGAAGGAGGGTGCTAATGGCAAAAATCCAGTGGTACTCCTTGACCCGATCGTTGAGGTCAAAACTCATCTGCCTCCTTTCTCTAACAGGTTGGAGAAACCAAAGAAGCAGGATAAGGAGAAGGAGATCTTGGAGGTGTTTCGCAAGGTAGAGATCAATATTCCCCTGTTAGACGCAATCAAACAAATGCCAAAATATGCAAAGTTTTTAAGGGACCTGTGCATCAATTGAAGGAGGCTGAGGGGAGATGAAAGAGTCATTGTGGGGGAGAATGTGTCAGCGGTTCTATAAAGGAAACTCCCACCGAAGTGCAGGGACGCAAGTATGTTTATTATTCCCTGTAGAATAGGTAACACCCTGATTGGAAAGACCATGTTAAACCTAGGAGCATCGATCAATGTGATGCCAAAATCTATTTATGCTTCTCTGAACTTAGGTCCATTAAAAGTAACTGGGATAATCATTCAATTAACTAACCGAACTAACGCATACCCTGATGGGTTAGTTGCGGATGTGTTGGTCAAAATTAATGATTTTATAATCTCATCTGACTTTTATATACTTGACATGGATGATAATCATTCCCCCGATCCTTTACCTTTGCTATTAGGTAGGCCCTTTTTTAGCACAGTACAAACTAAAATTGATGTTAATAAGGGCACCTTGTTCATGAAATTAGATGAAAAAATTGTTCATTTCAATATTTTTGATACTATGAAATACCCCTCAAACTCTAATTTTAGTTCTGCTTTTTTGTAAGTACTATTGATCCTGCGGTGCAGGAAGTGTTTGAATGTGAGGACTCGAAAATTCTATTATTTTAAAATCCCAAATTTTGGCTAAATTAATTATTTATTTGGATTTTTGCCACGAATAATATATATATATATTTTTAGCTTTCTAGACCTAGGTACATGGTTTTATAGTTTCGTTATATTTTTAAAGTGTCTCGTTTCAAAAAAATTATTTTCTTATAAGTTTGTTTAGTGAAAGTGAAAACGTGTCTAAACACTTAGCCAATTGGGAGTACACTAAACTCGAAAATTTGGAGACATGTACAATGGTCCTAAAATAGGTAAATTTAGGTTTAAATACTCAAGTGATAGTTAGTGGTACGATCGTTATAAGAATTTCTCGAAAGTTTCATTTTTATCGCGCCTAAATTGGATATAAGTGTTTTCACGTGCGCGCTTAATTGAGGGACCTTGGACCATTATTTTGGGACAATTAAGAATGAATAATATTTATATGAATATAGGTGCCCTAGAGGTTTAGTGCACTAGTACAATAAACTTAAGAGAAATCGGACACAAAATGCGCGCGTAGGCGCACTAGTTGCAATTGATTTTTACGTACTTAAAATATTAGACGATCAGCGTTCCTTGTACGCAATAGAATCAGCAAAACATATCATTTCTTTAAGCTCCATGGACGGCTAGCAGTCAGCAAGGGAGCAACCGAAAACTTTCAACATTTCCTCTACAAAAACTCACTCAAATCACCACCAAACCTTCATAGATTCACACCAAACTTCACATACACTTAGCTCTACACTTGGACAACACTTTGAGCTTCAAAAGGGAGGAGCTTTCACGGTTTCTTGGAGCTTCAAGGAGGGCCGAAATTCTGGTCTTAAGCACCAAGGAGGTATATAGTGATCTAACACTCTAAACTTAGTTTATAAGAGTAGGATTACACTTATGAGCTTGAATTTTCATATGGGTTGTTGTTGTTGTTGAAAAAATGGAATGTGGGCTCTATGTACTCCCACCTCTGTCTTGATGGCTGATATGGTGATTGATGCTGTTTATAGTGGTAGTTTAGTGGTTAAAATGATAGATTTATGGAGTATTATTGTTGGAAACTCAAAAGTTGAGGCCATGACAAAAATTTCCGAAACTGCCCCTGTTTTGTTCGGCCATGATAAGGCCAATTTTTGATGATCTAATGGCTTGAACCTGATGTTTATATGTTGTAGTAGATGTGTAAAAATTTTCATTGGAAAACATTAACGTTTGGTTGGGCAAATGAATTTATTTGTGAACTAGTCAAGCTGGAAAACTGTTTTCGGATAACCCTGTCCAGCGGTAGTATTTCAACCATAACTTTGTCCTCCGACGTCAAAATCTAGTACCGTTGGTGGTATTTGAAACTAGACATCCATACCTTTCCAACGGTATAAAATATACCTTCTGATTCCATGTGTAGGAGCCAAACCATTCGTTTTAAGATAGCTGTCCTGTATCTCCATTCTGTTGGAATGATTTGTAGAGGCAGCAACTTGAGGCTCAATTTCGAGCTGGTTGTTCACCAAATTTCGAAACGTTTTCTTCTGAGAATCTTTAGCCCTATGAATCTATTTTCCAACGCCGTAAACCATGCTCAATTCTGAGTTAATTCGACTGAGTTGTGATCAAAACAAGAACACTGCTCTGTTTTGGAAAAACCTAGTTTTGGACAGATTTGAGATGAGACTTGTTGTGGTCTTACTAAATGAAATTCTTGGTGTTAAACACCTACCAAATGTACCATGAATGTCCCTTAGACTTTCATTTCATATATGAATCATGATTGGAGGATTTTCTTAGCCAAACGATTGGATTTGGAAAGAAAAGGATTAAAGGCAGATTGCCTTAAGAATTTTTCCAAACTTCAGTTGGTTCGTTGACTGCCTTCCCGAAGGTATTTTTCTGTGAAACTTGATAGAGAGATACCCTTCATATAAGAGTAAAATACTGCCAATTTTGGTACCAATCCAAGTTCGATTTGATACCTAACTAAACTTCCAATGTTGGAAGTTCAAATCTGGAAATTCTTCTCCAGTCTTGAATTTTCCCAACTTTGAGCTACCATAACTTGGTGCTCGAAACTCCGATTCTCGATCCGCTTATTCTGTCCTAAACCTTACTTGCACCTCTAATTGAGCTATAAACTTCAAGGGCTGGTTTGCAACGAGTGAATTCTACCGAATTTCCAAAGTTAGCGAAAAACCAACCCCGGCTCAATCCTGGGTGATCAGGAACAGCAAATTTAAGCTCATTTTTGAATACCTTCCATTTAGATTCATGGAACAGTGTCTTCTAAGAACTTTTAGTACTTTCAAAGACGATTCCAACGGTACCAAGTTTATCAATTTTTGACTAGTAGAAAAGAAGTTATGATTTTTCAAAGATTTTACCAAAAATCAAAAATTCTGGAATTTCAAAAGAAATCCGCGCGGGAAGCATTTTTCTAGAATCCGGCCTTGAATCCGGCCAGTTTCTGGCCGGATAGGCGGCCGGATAGTGGTTGGGATTTGGAAAAAATAAATGAGGATGGCTACTGCCTCCAATCCGGCCAGGTTCCGGCCGAATTGTGACGTGGCCAGTCCACTTTCAATTTCGGTCACTCGTTTCGGGATTTATTCGCACGTACTCGTTTCCATCCAATGATTTCGAGAATAATAATCCAATTTTACTCGAGTCCTGCACCCTTTTGAGAATCCAACTTAAAATTCAAGTTTAACCGAAATTTTCAAAATATTTCTGAACCCTACTCGTGTTCAATCTTTCTCGCCACTTGAGGACTTATAGAAATTGTCTACTATTCGATACTCAGGCACGCACGAGGACCTCCAAGAGGACCCTACCGTGGAAGTTTGAACTCTCAATCCAACCTACTTGCTTGCATATCTTGGTGAGTGTCAAGTGTATGACTACTTGAACTCTATAGATTTGATTCATGCTTGACTTACCTGATTACATGCTTAGCCTATTTGGTTTTGAAAAAAAAAAAGGAGTCGAGTGTATACTTAATCGCACTCATTCTCATTTGAAACAAATGACTCATGCCTAACATGCTTTGCCTGGTTTATATGACCTGAAATGCATGTTTAAACCTGTCAAATGCTTGAATACATGACATAGTATGCTATCACTGCATACGTCGTTGGAGTGAATCTTCTCGACCCTTACATGATACATGGGGGACGCTCAAACTCATAGGCCGACCTTGGAACTCGAGCCGGCATGGGTTTGGTCGGGAATCTCGGTGAGCCATGAGATTCACATGATAAGCTTGATCTATTGAGAGATCTCGCTTGGCATACTCGTGAAGTATCGCCTTATAAATGTCGTGCGGGCCCGAAGCGGTGTATAGTGGACGGATAAGAAGTAAGTGGTGAACTATGGATATGAAATTTCCACCCGGTTGACGGAGAGTCATCGCGGGGAGATATACGAATGACATCGGTAAAATGTGGAACTTAGCTCCTGAGAGCTACCATATCATTGAATTGTTTTTGGTTACATTTTGTTGGCATTATTAATTACTTTCAAATTATTACTTGAATTGTTACTTGGGCTTGTTACCTGAGCTATGTGCCTGCATGTGTGTTCTTGGCCTCACAAGCGTTTTGCTCACCCTGTAGATTTGTTTTCCTTAACAGGATTGAACTTGGCGAGGTATCGAAGAAACCTTCCTGATACACTTTTGTTTAGGGTTTCTATTACTTTTGACTATGTCTTGGCTTTTGGGTTGTATTTTGGAATCCGAATGTAACTTTTGGGGCATGATGTATATTTGGGATTTATGATGGTTGTTGAACACGCTTCCTAAGTACCAAAGGGACAGTTTAATCGATTTAGAAGTTTAGATTTCACTCAAACCAAGCCAAAATCCAAGAGAAAATGAAGTGT